TGTCTACATTTCTCATAAAAAATAGTAATAACAATCTATAATCCATTTTAGTCTTTTTCTATTTTTTAAAAAATAAAAAATGGAAAATAAAAAAATCTAAGCATATAACCGTAAATTAACATGTCCACAGTAAAAGTTGATAATTAGAAGCAATAGGTGAGTAGCTTATCAGAATCAGTTTTTTTGAGTTAAAATAAGTTATTAGAACCAGAAACTGTTTGAAATTTTTTTTAACCAAACAATCCAAAATAACTTTTCGAAAGTTAAAAGTTATAAGTTGGTTAGAAACAGCCCAAACAAACACCCCTTATATCCCATAAAAAAATAAATAAATAAATAAAACCTTCAAAGAGTCTGATCAAATAACAAAAGCAAAAAACTTCAATGAAGATCAACCAACATAGGTTGCATAAGTACCCACCCGAAAAAAAAAATAAAAATAAAATATTTTGCATAATCAATCCCGAAGATCTTGCATCCTTGGAGAATTACGTCCCATAGTAAGCTGCTAATTTTGTTGCACTTTCCACCTATGATTCCAATCAACTAATAAACATCATAATAAAAATAAAAAATAATAATGTTTGATTGCTGAGAAAATAAAAAATAGGAGTAGATGAAGAAAAAAAAATATCCTTCACCACAGGATTGAACCAAAGTTATCTCAACCGTTCTTTTTATTTGTATCTCACTGACACTTTAAATTAATCGTTTATACTTACAAAAATTTTGAAAATAGGAAACACAAATTTGTCTGGTGTCTACGTTTTGTTTTAAAAAAAATGGAGACAATTTTCAAAATTTACTAATTATATGAAACCAAAAAAAAAAAAAAAAGGTATTGTGTTTAATACAAATAGCCAACACAAAATTGAAAAGTGTACTACTTATTTAAGATTCAGCAAGTTCTTCAAATATCAAATTTGTTTGATCACATTTTCCCAACCGTGTGCTCACTTGATATACTTAAACAGTATTCCATCATAATAGGAAACCTAGTGCACATTGTGTGTATACACTCGGGCCAAGCCGGCTCAACTTGTCAAATTGGTACCCAATCCCATCTGTGGGCTAAGTTTGGTAGTTTTCTTTTTAGTTAGCCAAGCTAGCACACTGCCAAAAATCTTGGGCTGAAGCCCTGATATGTTTTTCAACTTCTTGCCCCTTTTTCTTTTCTTGGGTTCACCTTTTGTGATTTCTATTTAAACTATTTCACCATAAAGATGGTGCAAAAACTTCAACAAAAGGTAAAGTACAAATTCAACTATAAATTGAAGAAGGCATTGTTTAACAATTGACATTGGATGAAGCCAAGCTAAGTGAATCACTTTGTTTGTATTGCCAAGTCATAAATTGGAAAGAAAAAGAAAATATAGATAAAAACAAGGGTAAATTACATTTTTAACCCTTGTTATTTGATTCAAAATTTACTTTAACTCCTATTGACTCAATTTAAACAATTTGGTTCCTATATTTTAAATTCAGTTTGAATTTGGTCCTTCTATTCAAATTGCACATTCAATTTAATGGTTTTGTAAACACGTGTCAATCTTCAAAGGTTCATGATAATGAAATTGTAGTTGCAAGAAAATTAAAAACTCGAGAAGTTCTACAAGAACATCATGACAATATTAAAGAAGAAATTTCAGCCGTATACCATAAAGAAAATCAAAAAAAATCAAAGTTTCAAGAATGCTACTTGCATCTAAAAAAGTAAAAAAAAAAATTAGTAAAAACAAAAAAAATTCAATTTTTAAAAAATTAAATTCAAAAAATTGAAACCAAATATGGTGATTCTGTGATTTGAATCTGCATAGGAAACAAATAAATAAAAATTCAAATTAGTGAATAAACAATTCATTTGATGCTCTTGAAATCAGATTTGTGTCATGCTATGTCAAATATAGTGCTGTTCAAATTTGTGACGAACTCTCGCCCAAATTCAAAGTGAAAAAGAAAGGAAATCATGGAGAATTAGGAAGCACGGATACAGGAAATAAATAAATAAATCTATATAATATGGGAAGATGATTTTTGAAAATATGTTAGAGATAATTGTCCTATTAAGACATTTTAATGGTCATGATTCACTTGTGTATTTACATAAACGGATGAGATGAAAACCTTCTCTCTCACTCTACTTGAATTTCCCGCCCAAGAGCCACAAACTTCGCAACCATCCATCCTTATCTGTTGCACCTCACCTTTCCACATTTTAAATTTCAAAACACACCCATCCACTCCTGCAAAAAAGAGACCCACGCTTATTGAACTCTCTCTATAAACTCTCCTCCTTTTTTTTTTTTTTCTCAGTCTCACTTACAATTTTCAAATTTCAAAACACCCAAATTTGGGTTAGGAGTGGAAGGTGGGGTGGGGATGGCAGTGATGGTGGTGCTAGGGCTGGGATTGGGATTGGGGAAAACCGGCTTCGACGACTGGTGGCAAGAGTCGCCGGAGCATTTGTGGGATTTGGTGTGAATGGCGTGGCGAAGAAGCCCAAATCCCAAGAGAAGACCAGTCACCACTAGCACTGTGATTATAAAGATGAAGATCTTTGTTGACTTACCGACATAACACATTTTTTTTCTTTTTTCTTTTCTTGCCCTTTCTTTTGATTGTGGGTTTATTGTTGGAGAAATGAGGGACTAATTAGAAATAATAAAGAGAATATCAGAGATGGGTTTCGGTTTGGAGGCTGGTTTGGGTGCTTTTTTAGGCGAGATGTGTACACTGGGTTGGTTTGGGTTGGTTTCGTCGTCTTCTTCTTTCTTCTTTTTTATTTTCATGGGTATTTGGGAGTGAAGAAGTGGACGAAGTAGAGGGGTCACTCTGCTTCATTTGGAGTTTGACTCTGGTTGAGTTTGAGAACTGTTTTTGAGGTTTGCGAGGCAACGGAAATGACACATGAAGCTAACAAAAAAATTGTTAAACTAGGCTTCTTTTGGAATCAGTTTATAGGTCACCTTTAATTTATTTAGGTTACATAATATCTTTTTGTTTTTTATAATAAATTAAAAAGTTAATTTATAATTCACTTCTCAAATGTTTGTTTAATGAGGGATGAATTGAAATCTCTTTCCCCTACTACTACTCTGCATCAATCAAACCTTCTTATTTTGTTTCTCATTTTTAAATTCATGTACTTTTTTTTCTTTCTTTTTTGTGTGGTGGTTGGTGAGATTGGTAGTGTTGTTGCGGAATCATGTCCATGTAATTACTATTAATGAAGGTTAGACAATTTAAAGATCTGGGTTCGTTTTGCTTTTTTTCTTTCTTTTTTTTTTAGAGAGAGACAAAGTGCAAATCTATGCATACAAGTTATGTGGCTGAGATGTTTTAGGCTTCGTTTGGAAAGCCATGGTTTGGGCTTTTTTGGCTATTTTAGCCACAAAAAACAAAATAGACTATTTTAGCCATAACAAACAAAACGTCACATCCAACCCATAATCATTACATTCTTCTCTCACAAAAAAACTCAAAAAAGCCAAAAAGCCCTTCCCAAACCAAGTTTTTAAGCCCAGGCTAAAATAGCCAAAAAAGCCAAAAAGCCAAAAAGCCAACCCACTTCCCAAACGGAGGCTTAGCTAGTTTGTGAATTCCTATTCAAACCTTGCTTATTAAGACTTTTTGAGATTTGAAAATTTCAAAGGGGAGCGTGAAGAAAATGCATCAGAGGCTTTTGGTGATGATAATGATGATGACGAGGCAGATGTATTTGGGGTTTTTTTTGATGATGATGATGGCTTTTGGTGAGAGAGAATGAGTGGAATCAGAGACTTCTTGGGTTGTGTGTTTAACCTTAAGATGTGTTTGGGTTTTTTTTTTATTCTTTTTTTTTTTTTTTTAAGTTCTATTTGTTCTTTATTTATATAGATTTTTTTTTAATATGTAGGGTTTGGATTTAATTTTTTAAAAAGTTTTGGATTTGAAATAATATTTGATCTTCATAAAATAGGTTTTGATTTTAGTTTGATTTATGAAATGGATTTAATTCCTTAATGGAAAATGAGTGTTGATTTTTTATGATTTTGAAAAAGTTTTTGAAATGGGTGGTTAAAATATATTTATTTGGTCTAATTTTTCAAAAAATATTTTTAGATTGGTTTTTGTTTGTTATTACTCAACTTTTTTTCTCTCCATTTTTTAGTTATTTTTTTCTTATACTTTTTAGATATATCAAAATTAGATGCATTTAAAAAGTAAAATACGAAAAAAATTCATTAAAAAAAATAAAAATCCAAATAAAAATGCACAGATTTGTGTTTGAATTTTTTTTTATTGTTAGAATTTTTTAATATTTTAGTCAATTTGTTTTACTTTTCAAATATATTTAGATTAGGTGCATTTAAAAAGTACAAAAAAATAAGTAAAATACAAAAAAAAAAATCCAATAAAATAAATGAAAATACCTTTAAAACAATTTTTGAAAAATCAAACCAAACAATTTATTTTTGTCAAATTAATTTCTATTTTTTCAAAAAAATAAAAAATAATTTAAAAAATCAAACCAAACCGCTATATCATGTATTATTTTTAATATAAATTCAACAAAATTAATAAGGTGTAGGCCATAGTAGTGCGACACCCAATCAACACCCATAGCTAAGAACATTAATTGGGTCTATAAGTCGCCAAAAAATCACACCTCCCAGCTTTTGGTTTATTAACCATTAGCATGTTTTTCTACAATGTTACCCAAAGGACCTTGTGTTCACATCATATGCAACATTAAATATAAAATTACCCAAAATAATAATATGCAAAGTGCAAAATAAAATGCCAAGCAATTTATTTAATCAGTCAATAAAGTCAACGAATTGATTTTTGAGAGCACAAATGCTAGCAGGTTATGATTTCCAATAAAAGTGCTACAATCAATTTTTCTATTAAAAGTAATGGAAGGTATGCCATACTCTCTCAAATTAAGAGTGAGCATGCAAAATTTTTAAATGAAATATCAAAAATACTCTCATCTTAAAACTCCAATAACTCCGACGGATCTTTGTGTTACTGATTTCAGCGCTTGCTGATTCCGGCGGTGCCGTCATTCCCTGATTATACATTGGCTAGCCATTCTGCTTCGTTCTTCTCAAATTCATCATCCATCGTCTTCAATGCTTCTTTGATCTGCTTCAATACTTCTTTGATTTGTATTTTCCCCAATCGCTCTGGTCTCAGATCTTAATACTCTCATAGATTTGGGGCTTTTTGCATCACAAGGAAATGGAGAGGGGAGCTCAACATGGGTATGGAGGATGGCAACCAGTGGTCCGTCGGCATGGAGGCAGGGGAGTGTGGAGCAGAAGGGAGGAAGTGACTATTCACTCTGTTTTTGTGGATAATATCCCAGAACCCATGGGATCCAGCGGGTTGCATAAGCTATTCTCCAACTATGGTGTAGTCACGGACACTTTTATCCCTCATAAGCGCCGAAAGCTAACGCGATCTCGCTTTGGTTTTGTTAGGTATAACTGTGATGTATCAGCGGCTATGGCAGTCCAAAAAGCAAATGGGCTGTGGTGTGGCGACTGTGCATTGCGAGTAGTTCACCTTTGAACCTTTGTACTTAGAACTGTTTTGAGACCTTGGTCGACCCCATCTTCACCTAAGTAATTTTATTTTGATTACATATATATTTTTATTGGGGTCGACCAAGGTCTCAAACAAAAGACACAAAACAACTTTGCAAAGCTTGATATGCTCATTGTTTTTGTGACAACCTAACAAAATCCCAAAAACAACAATCAACAAAACCTGAAGAGTTTATTGTAATTCGATTCTGTTTTTCAGCTTGATCACAACTATGAGATGAGGGGGGTATTTATAAACTTTGAGACGGTGGTTCGAACAGGCACAAACCTATTCGAATTTCGGAGATTTGACTTGAGAATCTACCAGAAAAATTCGGACAATTCAAATTCGGTGGTGGTCGTTGCGACATTCACCAATTCACACTCTAATTGACACTTGTGGAGATAAATAGAAAGATGGAGGAGAAGTCAAATTGAAATCAAATTCTCATTCTAAATATGCAACATTCTGGAAAGAAGAGAACAAATTAAATTTAACTTCATCAAAATGTCACTTCCTTGAAGCCTCCTTAGGCATCAATTTCGCATTAACTTGGCAAATGGTTTTAAACATCTAAATACACGATGTGAATCACCACATGACATAGAATGCATTTCCACTTGGACATATGTAACAACCCTCACCTTACTCTTGTCATACCTGCAAACATTCATGCATGACTTGTCTTGATATGTTATTTTGAAGGTTTTTGCCTTGCCTTGTTTTGCTTAAGTATTGCTTGCATGTTTTGTTCCTTGCTGGGTGTGTAGCCGAGGTTACCTTGAGCTTAGTTCACCTTTGAACCTTTGTACTTAGAACTGTTTTGAGACCTTGGTCGACCCCATCTTCACCTCGGGCTTGTTGCCGAGATGTCTTGCACTGAGTGAGCCCTTGTTCTCGGGTAGGTATGGCCTAGACCGAGATGTGGCACGCCCCAGCCAAGGTGTGGCACAGCTTAGTCAAGCATCGTCCTCCCTAGCCGATGTCTTTGTTATCCTGTTGCCAAAGCTTTGACTTGAGCCGATGTTAGTACTTGCCGATGTGTCTTGCCCAGCTTGCTGCGTACGTTTTGTCTGAGATTTGTCTTATCAATCAATCACCTTTTTGAGTTGAACCAACTCGATAGTGCCACGTGTCCGAGCTGATTGTTAAGACAGCCGGCACAGCTAGAAACAAATCATTTGTTGTCTCAAATCTTTACCTTTAGAGAGAGAAGCTCTAGAGAGAAGGAGGAGGTGTTCTTGAGTGAGAGTAGATCTTCCAAGCTTGATCCTTGAGGTTCGAACCGTTGATTTCGGGTTTTGGGGTAAGAATCTTGATCTACTTGTTGTTGTTATTGATCATCTAGCTGCATTGCATGATCGGATTTGTTTTGCATGTTTTGCATCGATTTGGAAATGGTTTTCATGTGTTCTCGAAGGAAGTTCCGTTTTGATTCGAAAGTTTGGAACCAAAAACCATGTTTCGTGTTTATTCTTGCTTGACCTTCTTGAATGCGGTACCCAGGTCCATGTTTTGAACTCATGGCATGAAATCTCAGATTTTGTAACAAGTTTGAGCTTGCATTCATCTTCCTCTTGATCATGTACTTCACGTGTTTCAAAGGGAAACCCAGGTTTTCCCGACTTTGTTTTGAATAAACGGCCACGGGACCACAACCGTCGCAAGGATGTGTGGGACCTCGGCAAAGACCTGGTTGGTACCCAGTTGGGTGTTTTTCATGAAGTCAGGAGCGTGTTTAAACTCCAGCATGTTTTTGCTTTGTTATTGACTTGGATCCGGTGAAATGGCCGAGATCATCTGCTTGCATATAAGGCTTGTTTTTGAGAATGTGAATGCCATGTGATTGTAGGACTTGATCTTTGCTTTGAGCCTACATCCGAGGAAAACTATGGTGAGTGGTAATTTCTAATAAGCTATTGTTAATACTTGTTTTGATAAATCTTGCTTTGTTTTGTTTCGACGAAAGTATTTATTTAAGCATGAATGAACCGCTTTGTTTTGATGAATACGGTTCATCCCGTTGGTTTGATTGATGATACGGTTCATCCCCTTGTTTTGGCCGATTCGTAAGCACCCTTAAGACTTGTAATACTTGATTGATGAATACGGTTCATCCCTTGGTTCGATTGATGAATAACGGTTCTCCCTTGGTTTGATTGATGAATACGGTTCATCCCTTTGGTTTGAATTGATGAATACGGTCATCCCTTGGTTTGATTGATGAATACGGTTCATCCCTTGGTTTTGAATTGATGAATATTTCATTTTCCCTTGGTTTCGATTGATGAATCGGTTTCAATCCCCTTGGTTCGATTGATGAATACGGTTCACCTTAGTTTGATTGATGAAAAAAATACGGTTCATCCCTTGGTTCGATTGATGATACAGTTTCTTGGTTTGAATTGATGGATACGGCTTCATCCTTGTTTTGCCGAGTCAGTAAGCATGCCTTGAGACTTGTATACTTGATTGATGAATACGGTTTCATCCCTGGTTCGATTGATGAATACGGTTCATCCCTTGTTTGTGAATTGAATACTGGTTCATCCCTTGGTTTGATTGATGAAATACAGGGTTCATCCCTTGTTCGATTGATGAATACGGTTCATCCTTGGTTTGATTGATGGATACGGTTCATCCCTTGTTTTGCGAGTGTCAGTAAGCATCCCTTGAGACTTGTATACTTGATTGATGAATACGGTTCATCCTTGGTTCGATTGATGAATACGGTTTCAATCCTTGGTTTGTTGATGGATACGGTTCATCCCTTGTTTTTTGTGCCCCGTATGTCAGTAACATCCCTTGAAGACTTGTAATACTTGATTGATGAATACGGTTCATCCTTGTTCTGATAAAAGTTGATGTGTTTTTTGTTTTGAAAGACTTCAGCTGTATTCTGCAAACTTTGTATTAGTACCATTCACTGAGTATTTATCACCCTCTCTATATATATGTAGGTGATGAGCAGCGACGTCGGCGACGCCTAGACTGTTTGGATAGCTGTGTTTTGAAATCGTGATTATGTCGGCCCTCGTTTTTGTATTCTCGTCGGCGCATCATTTATTTTTGTCGGCAAATTCTTGAAAAATCATGGCTCTTGGATTGGTATTCACTGTATTTGTATATGTCGCTCAAGAAGCCTTTTTGATCAAGATGTACCGTATTTTTACCTTGGTTATATCTCAAGTTGTAAAGTTATTTGGGAGGATGTTTGACATTACATTCGATCTATGCACAGCTCTTCGGACTACTTCGTATTTGTTTATAGCTTCCGCCATTTGTGGAGCCCCGTTTGTTAACTCTGATTGTGTTTAAGTTTTTTGAAAAAGTTGGCCTTCGGTAATTACGGATTACTGGCCATCACGCACAACTACTAGGGGGTTTTGGGGTCGTGGACAACATACCTCAATCGACAATATGGGTCTTGCCTCAAATTAGGCTCAAAGTTAAGCCCAAAACCATTGTCTTACAAACCATTTTCCGACAATAGTGATTGCGATCGACGATGACCACCAAAGTGCTCCAAAATAAACGAAGAAATGAAGGACTCCTTTAAAGATCTTGTGATAGTGTTTGTCAGGAG